TTAACCTCTTTTTACTATAGTAAAAAAAATAAATAATATATATATATATATGTATATATATATATATATATGTTATACATATATGTAATATATATATATGTATAACTTGTGCAATTAAAAAAGGATATAAGCACAGAAAAAGATAGAGAAAGTATATACCTAAATAGTCACAACGTTTAATTTTATGGGTCTAAAATATGGGTCATTATTTTTTTCTTTTCCTTTGTATTTTTCTGTTTTCTTTTAAATTTCCAAAAATTAAAGAAGGGCAGAACCTTGCAGGGCAGCAACAACACTTGTCCAAAAAGACATGCATAGCAGATCCTTGAAAGGATGACTCTCCCTGGAGCGTGATGCTGTGTCTGGACTGGCATGTGTCACTGGAGTGAGTACCAGCCCTTGGAAGATGGTGTCCGCCAGGGACCTGACGGGCTGCTGCAGTCTGAGGCCACGTGGAGGCCACATCTCCTGATACAAACCTGTCTGCCCTTTTACCAGTGGCAGAACCTGGATCCTCTGACTACTTTTTTCTTTTTCCTCCCTTCCTCCCCAGAGGCTGACAGTATTTCCTCACTGAAGCCCCCAGTACCCACCACTGCCTCTCTCTCTCTCCCTCCAATCTCTGTTGTGAGATTCCAGACTGGCCTTGCACAATGCCATGGTACGTCTGTCATTCCCAGATGTAAAGATTCCTAGCAGTCCCTTATGGACAGTGGGACAAAATCTAAATAGCTTAGCCTAACACGTGTGGTCCTGTCTTGAATTTGAGTCCAGCCTTAGTGCCTTCATTCCCTCCCCATCCTCCTTCCCTTCCTCCACTCCCTCCCCTACTCCATTCTGCCAACAAGAGCCTCTCACTAGAGCCGCAGAGTCCACACGGTGTTTCTCAAAGTCATAGCACACCTCCCCATCGCTGGCCTGGAATGGCCCCCTGCCTCTCAGCTTCCATCAGCTTCTCTGTGAGCCTCCCCTGCTCTCAGTAATCTGTTTGCCCTCTGAGTTTCCACATCATGTATTATCCATGCCCCATGCATTTCTTCCATACCTATTATAAAATAATAATAAAGTGATAGCTACTGCTCCTTGAGTACCTTCATGTCAGGTGCAGACAGAGTTATTAGCCAAAGCCATTAGTTTGATGGAGGGCCAGAGAGATGAGAGGCCAGGGAAGGGCTGGCAAGGTCCCAGACACTAGGTCATGGCTGGAGATGAGCTTCCTTGGCTTAGGGAATTCCTTGGGCAGAAAAGAGTCAAACACAAGAGGGTCTGCCTGAGATCGTTTGGGGGGCCGAGATGGGCAATCTGGAAAGAGGTCATTTTTTGCTGTCTAGGAGAGGCCAGGTTTGGGCTACACCCAGGGGCTGTAATAACCACCTTTTTGAGGACCCCTTCTGTGCTGATCCACAGAGGTCCCTGACTCCAGCAACAGGGAGGAGGGGGCAGGCTCCAGCATCACCAGGACTCTCCTGCCCTGGCCCCGCTCCCCTGCCTGCAGAGCAGGCTTTGAAAAGCAAAGAGCCCTGGAGCCCAGTTACCTCGCTCTGGCCTCTCTTGCCCCCAGTTCAGGGTCTGGCTGCACCTGCAGCTTCCCTTCCTGCAGGTACCCTGATCCTTTGCCTGTTGTTCCAAAAGGGGGTGGGTGAGGACCCCAGCTGTCCAGGCTCCAACATTCTCTATCTACAGTCTACAGCTGCCATCTTCTGCCTCCAGCGTCTAGTGATCTCTAGTCCTTTTCTCAAAGGGGTCACCATGTTCCTCGTATCAGGCCCCAGATTCTCAGCGGCTTGGAGGGGCAGGGTGGAGATAAGATGCCTTGGCTGGCGGCCTGAACGAGCTCTTATTTAGGGCTCTGCCTATTTGTCCAGGTGACCCACGTGTCCTTCTGAGGTGGGAAACCCCATGAAAAAGATGGCAGGACCCCTAGGCAGGGCCACTACACTCCTGCCAGAACCATTCGGTTCCCTGGCCCGGTGGCATTATCTTGCTATTTGCCTTTGAAAAGGCTTGATTCTAGGAAAGTGGAGCTTACCCC